GGCAAACCATCGATATCGAAGGGACAAAAAGTCTTTCATTAACGAAAGAGTGGTACGAGACCCCCCACCCCCGAGACTGGCAGGCGAACAAATTTTTAACCGAGTTCGACGTATTCCTACGGTTGTGCAAGAGCCACACAAGGATCCAAATGGGTATTGTGATACCCATAAGTGGACAAAGAGTATATTTTGGGAGTTGCATATTGGAAATACCTTCTCATTCGTCACAATTTAGATTCATGCACATTGAGAAGAATGTCTTTGACAATATACAATATACTTAACACGATGATGGATTTTAAAGACAAAACTAAAGATTGTCTTGCATCTAGGAAAGACATGAGAATGTGGTGTGATAGATCCGAACTTGTAAAAACACCATTTTAGAACATTTAATAGTAATATGTAAAAATATTGAATCATATTACATTATTTAGTAACATAATTTTTGGACATTTTCGGACATTTATTAAGATTATTATTTTGTACTCTATAAATATTACTCCCTCCGTCCCAGAAAATTCTTCCAACTTTCCTTTTTGGGACGTCCCAAAAAATTCTTCCAACTTCACCTTTTTGATTATTTGTGTGGCTCACATTCATTTCACCTTTTTCTTACACAACTATAACCATACATTTCTACTTTATTCCACTACCTAAATATGCGATCCAACTCAAAGTTGGAAGAATTTTCTGGGACGGAGGGAGTATTATTCAATAGATCTAGTTTCAAAGATATTAAAAATTAATTTAAAATATCGACCCCCTCACATTAAACTAATACACAGTTTAATGTATTACATATTTGATTCCAAATCAAACATTTACAAAAATTCGTACCCCTCATGTTAAACTTGCAAAAAAGTTTAATATGTTTCATTTGTAAAATATACTGTTTTTTGGAAAATATTACCAAAAAAACTGTTTTTGGAAAATAAAACATTCGTACAAAAGTTTAACAGATTTTGTTTATTAATTAGTCACAAAAAATATACTGTTTTTCGGAAAGTAATACAAAAAAATAACCTGTTTTTTCTTCTAAAATAATAGTGCAATAGACTATTTTTTCTAACATATACTTAGGTAACATAATTTTTGGACATTTTCGGACATTTATTAGGATTATTATTTTGTACTCTATAAATATTATTATTCAATAGATATAGTTTCAAAGATATTAAAAATTAATTTAAAATTTTTGACCCCCTCATATTAAATTAATATACAGTCTAATATGTTACATATATGATTCCAAAATCATTGTTTTTACAAAATTTGGTACCCTCATGTTAACATGTTTAATACAAAAAAACACTGTTCTTTATTATATAACGAACTGTTTTTTCTAAAATAATACAAAAAAACATATTGTTCTAAATATTAATTCAAAAAAATAGTGTATTTTATTAAAGTGTATTTTATTATTCTAAAACAGTGTTCCAAAACTGTATTTTTATTATTACAATAAACTGTATTTTTAAAAAATTATTACAAAAAACACCTTTTTACACTCTCACGTGTGAAACTGTTTAACGTCATAGGCCGGACGCAACGTACCTCTCACGTGTGATTGGGCTCTTGAAGACGTTTGACCAATGTTACCTTTTTGAGATCGTGGGGAGGCCATGGAGTTGTCCGTCCATTCTTTTCATTCCCGTGGTGTGTTGGAGGGATGGAAGGATTTGTGTTGTTGACCTCCATTTTTGAGTTGGTATGGATTGTGTTTTCCATACATTGAATGTTTCATCGTCTCCTCCCACTCTTAGCTTTACGGTGCCTGTTTGCACATCAATGACGGCTGCGGAAGTGGCCAAAAATGATCTCCCAAGGATGACGGGAACCTCCATCTCTTCCATGTCTAAAACAAGAAAATCTACCAGAAAGTAGAATTTTCCTACTTTGACAAGGACGTCCTCCATGATGCCTATCGGATAGCGGATTGTTCTATCCGCTAATTGCAAAGCAACCGTTGTTGGTTGGAGTTCCCCCACACTTAGCTTTTTAAATAGGGAGTGGGGCATGAGATTTATGCTAGTGCCAAGGTCACAAAGAGACTTTACCTCCCCGACTTTTCCGATAGAGCATGGAATAGTGAAGCTTCCGGGGTCTTTTAGTTTTGGAGGAAGTTTGTTTTGAATAATGGCACTACATTCCTCCGTTAGTGCCACGGTTGCGAATTCCTCTAACTTCTTTTTGTTGGAGATGATGCCTTTGAGAAATTTTGCGTACGATGGAATCTCCGCAATGGCCTCCGCAAAAGGTATGTTGATGTTCATTTTCTTGAAAATATCAAGAATTTTCTTGCGTTTCTTCTCATCTCCTTTCTTCTTCAACTTTTGTGGATAGGGGATGGGAAGAACATATTGAGGCATAATAGGTTGCAACGGTGTATGTGAAACCTCTTCTTGTTCCTCCAGTGTCTTTCTTCTCTCCGGCATCTTGGGATCCTCCGTTTCCCTCCCGCTTCTTGTGGTAATGGCCATGACGCTCTCCCTCGGGTTTACCTCCATAGTTGTAGGGAATTTACCTTGCTCTCTAGAACTCACTTTTTGGGCGAGTTGTCCCAATTGAACTTCAAGATTTCGGATGGACGCCTTGGTATATTGCTCAATGGTGTCGATGCGTTGGTTGAGCTTTATATTTTGATCTTCAAAGCGAAGATCTAACTTGTTGAATTGACAGTGGAGATTCCCAATGGATGCCTCCACTCTACTATGGTTCTCTTCATTTTGAGCCTTCATGCTTTCCATGCTCTTGGATATGAATTGCATCATATCCTCCATGGTGGTTTCCTTGGACGGCCCAAAATTAGGTGCTCCGGATTGGGGTTGTGGTTTCCAATTGCTCCCATGGTTCCACCTTTGTTGATTAGAAGGATTATTGTTTCCCCGGTTCTCATAAGAGTTCATGAAATTTACCACTTCAAGATGTTGAGATAAATTGCCTTCCGGACTTTGAATGCTCTCCACATTAGCTATTTGCTTGACTCCTCCCAATACGGTTTGAAGGGCCGTTTGGAATTTTTGCTCAATTTTTGATTCCATTTGTTCAAGCATTTTGTTAATCTCGGTAGTGATAGAGATTTCATTCATCCCGACCACCTTGTTATCGCCTCCTTGAAGTTGAGGATTTGAGGCAATAGATTCAATGATTCGGAGCGCCTCTGTTTCATTTTTATTTCCAATGTAGCCCTCGGCTTGGTTGTCTACAATGGCTTGACAAGGTGCATTCAAACCATTGTAGAATGTATCAAGTTGAAGATCAAGGGGAATGCGGTGGTGCGGGCATTCCCTTAACAATGATTTGAAATGCCGCCATGCGTCTTGAAAGAGCTCACCATTTTGTTGTTTGAAATTGAAAATGCGTTGTCTAAGCTCTTGAGTCATGGTGGGTGTGTATTATTTAGACATGAAGGAATTGTATATACCTTCCCATGTTGTGTAGCTTGCCGGAGCTTGCTCTATGAACCATCCTCTTGCCGCCCCTTTAATAGTATAGGGGAAGCATTTAAGCTTGAGTTGATCCTCCGCCAAACCATTTCTTGGGATTCCTTGAATGAATCCGTAGAACTCCGTGATGAAGTTGAGTGGATTTTCCCCAAACAAACCATGAAACTGAGGCATAGCATTGAAGTAGCTTTGCCTTAGCTCATAGTCTCTTGCTTCCTCGCTCAAGGTGATGCAAGATGGTGTAGCGGCCACCACGTGTCTCTTCCTCTCATTCAAAGTTGGCAACATCTTTGTAGCTTTTTGCTCCCTTCGAATGTGTTTGCAAGTTTTTTCTATTTCAAGATCAAGTGGTTCAAGAATTTTAGAACTTGTGAAAAATATTTGAATATTTACACAAGCAAAAAACAAAAATCCTTCCAAGATCAAGTGAAGTTGTGAAAAATAAATTCAGGATTTTTGATTGGTTGATTGTTTGGACTTTATTAAACAAGACCGTTTCCCCGGCAACGGCGCCAAAAACTTGACCGGGCTGAACTTGCAAGTGTACAAGTGCCGATATAGTAATAAATTCCGGTAAAATACCGGGTCGAATCCACAGGGAAACGTTGTTTAATTTAGTCCGCGAGTAGATGACTTTGAATAAGTAAATGAGTAAAGTGCAGGGATTTTGAGTTGTGTGTTGTTGTGAAAACAACAACTTGGTTCTTCTTTTTAATTTTCAGAGATATAACTTGAATTAATTTGATTAAAGTGATTGATAACAACAACTAAGGCTTCGGGAATCACTTAAATGTTTTAATAGGGTTGGATATTAGCTAGAAGTTTTAAGAAACTGATCTGTTTAGCTAGTGTAATAAAGTAAACTTAAGTTTTAATAAAAACTAAATTAACCTAAGTGAAACTAGGTTCATACGTAAAATAGGGTTTGAAAATATAGAAGGTGAACCTAGAATAATGTAATAAATGTTGTTTGGGTGAAGGTACTCTAGCTCATTTTATGTTATACGAGAACTTAACCTCCAAAACCCCCGATTAGGAGGTTCTCCAATTTAAGGTTCTTCGAGGTTCTCTGGAGTTAAGTGAGGTTAACACATAACCTAAGTTCTTGTTGCAAAAATACAAACAAACAAGATTAAAGGAGTGTTTGCAATTGATTAAAAAAAGCACTTTTCAGCTTTTGGTTTAAAAAAAGTTAAAAAGAGTGTTTTCAAATGACAGCTTCTGCTTAAATTAATCAATTAAAAGCTAAAAGCTGGAAGCAGGTGGAAGGGTGCTTTAAACTGCTTTTCACTTTTTCTATTACACAAAAAGTACTTATTTTACCAAACACTACCAACTTTTACTTTTTCATAATCACTTTTTTCTCAAACACTACCAACTTTTACTATTAATCACTTTTCCCCAAATCACTTTAAAAAATCACTTTTTTAAAATTGAAGTAATTGCAAACACTCCCTATCTAGAAATTGAACCTTCAATAAGGTTAACCCCAAACAAATAGGCCATAAATAAAATTAAAAATAGTTGAGAATTTTCTTTCACATAAGATTTCTAGGATCTCTCATCTCTGAAGTATGTTAAAGCTACCAAGGAAGAAATTAACAAAGTGGTCAAGTTTCAGGAAGAGCCGGATATTGATGTTCTTGTTCACGGAGAACCTGATGTAAGTCAGCGTTCTCTGCGTTCTATGCAGAGGAATGATAACTTTACTGCAAATTGATGGGTTCAATCTTACTGATCTCGCTGCGCGAAGCCGCATATCATCTATGGTGATGTTAGCCGTCCCAAACCAATGAATGTGTTGTGGTCCACCATAGTTCAGAGCTTAACCAAGCGCCCAATCACCATTCTCAACTGGTCCTTTGTTCTAAATGACGAGCCAAGGTAACCAAAAAGATCCATAAAAGCATACATTTTTGTCCTATCACTACTTCACTAATACATCAAATGTTTTAATCTTTGTTTGGGTCTGTTTCCAGCTCTGAAACCTGCTATCAGAAGGTAGGAATCACTGTTTTCCAAATTGATGAAGCTGCTTTGAGGGAGGGATTGCCTCTTAGGAAAGTTGAGCATGCGTTTTTATTTGAACTGGGCTGTTCACTCTTTCAGAGTCACTAACTGTAGTGTCCATTAACACTATGTCTGGAATTTCTGATAAGAACCTTGATATTTTCAAACGGGCACTTTAACTCTTTCTGTTAAATAGGTACTAACAATTTCTGGGCATTTTAACCTTGCCTATATAAAAGTATTATGTGAAGTATATCAGAGATTCAGAGGTCCAAAAACAGTTTCTGCCTGTTAAGTGTTAAGTGTTAAGTGTTAACACTTCCGAAACAGGCATTTACTCGAATTTATTGAGTTTGAGCCCATCTGTTCTCTAAATTTTTTGTTACTCTCAATTTTTTTGTGAGCACATCAATGTTCATCTCTATGCCTCCCCAAATATTCTTCTTAAGAGAGTGGGATGTGATACGCATGTAATTTCCGTGTGTATGTTTACGTTTTTAGTTAGTTTTGGTTGTTTAATATTTCGGAAATTACACATTTTTGGTGTAATAGTTATGTTTGTAATTTAGTTGTAATTCAATTAGATTAGGATCATTCTGAGCTTAAACAGGTCCAAGATCAGTCAAATGATCATTGGTGAAGGAAGGTGCAAGAGTTCAAGACAAAAAGGAGGCACAATCTTGATTTTTGACTTGTACCCGGTCGAGTATACCATATACTCGATCGGGTACCAACTGTACTTTCAATTAGATCAATCAGGAGACAAAAGGGTGTGCAGGGGAAGATTTGACCACGATCAATTGTAATACCCGATCGGGTACACCTATATACCTGATCGGGTATGCCTTTTATTTTCACCCCGAATTCGATCGAGTAAGCCTCAAAATTACACTTTTTACACATACCCAATCGGGTATCTAACTATCTATATATACTCGATCGGGTACCCGAACTGCACTCCCAAAAAGTCTATAAATATACCTCCTTCCCTTCACAATTAGATACCAATTCCTTTATATTCTTAAGCTCAGTTTAGAATAGCATTTCTTTATATTTCTTCTAGCATGTTTAGTCTCCAAATGAGGAGCTAAACTTCCATTTCTTGGTTTTGCTCTTGAAGCTTGTTGATTATTAAAGTTGTGAGTTATTTTCTTACTTTCTCCTCTTGATTATTAATTCTTCCATTAACCTCATTCTACATTAATGTTGGAGGGTTGCTAAGTGACGATTAGTTAACGTTCCGACATTAATTATTACTAGAAACGATCAACGAACCGATGGTTAATCGTTGATGGTTTCACAAATAAGTAACTTCGGTTAATTGATGCACGGTTGTGGTTAATAAACTTAAGAGGGATTAATTTGTTGGTTAAACCGAAACCGTTGTGTTGAGGTTATCAATCTCAATTGATTTCATCAAGGAGTTAAGAAGGTTAAAAGCTACTATTATATTGGTATACGGCGTTGTTCTATATTTGATTAATAGTAAGGGTTATTAATGAACGGTCGTTGTTAATAACTACCCTCGATGAATTGGAGATACTCCGCGATTGAGTATTCGAGAGGGGATAAGTTATAGATATAACAATGATCGACTAAAATATATCAACAAGTGGAAAGTAGCAAGACCAAGTTCCTTCTATTCTTGAATTTAATCCCATATAACTCGTTCATCTCCGTGTTTAATTTAATTAAATCACTCAATCAAAACCCCCCATTTTAATTACTAGTTACATAAAAAGAGAGTTATTCCTTTCCCGGTGGATACGAACTCTACTACGCTATACTACGTATAGTTGTTAGTATCGAATTATTTTGACGCACCGTGACAAAGTGCACGTCAGGATGTTGGGAAGGAGATTGCTTGCACTAAGTAATTACTCTGTTCTTTTTCCGTTGGGGTGTGCTGATGAGCTCTTATCTTATGTTTTGGGCCTCAACAGATTCACACTCACATGTGCTTACTCAAACTTCAATGATATCATCCACTCCATGATTGACATGGATTCTCATGTGATCACAATTGAGAACTCGGGTTCCGATGAGAAGCTTCTCTCGGTTTTCTGCGAGGGCGTGGAGTATGGTGCAGGAGATGGGTCAGGTGTGTATGACATCCACTCTTCCAGGATACCCACCACAGAAGAGATTGTGAATAGAATCAACAAAATGGGCTCAACCTGGACTTTGGCCTTAAGACCCGCAGGTACACTGAGGTGAGCCCAGCTTTTGAAAATGTTATTGCTGCAGCCAAACAGATCAGTTCTCAGCTGGCCAATGCCAAGTGAGACCCCTCACCACCATGTATTTGTATGTGTCTCCATTACTACATAGTCGGATTTGAGATTAAATATAAGTGTCTATCTTGATAGCCTGGTGTTTCACTGTTTCTTAGGCACATTTTGTTTTTACTCTCTTTTTTCGGTATTGATTTAAAATATTTTTACTTCTAGAAAGAAGTTATATCCTGTAATTTTTACGGTTTGTAGCCTACATGTATTTCACAAAAATCCCCATATTGTCAACTTCATATGGGATACCTCAGTTTGTGCTTGGCTGGTATTTCTGGGCTTCTAAACGTTGTAACTCATCCTCTATTCCACAGCTTTTTTGCCCAAGAATAAAATATTGTTCCTAGAAAGTAAGCCTTAAATATTAGAGTAGATATGGACCGTTGAGTTTTTGCATCAGATTAACTGTTTTCCTAGAGTACTACCTCCGTAGCGTAAATATCTTCCCACTTTCCTTTTTTGGACGTAACACTAATATCTTCCCATTTCTAAATCTTCCCATCAAACTCTCAATAATTTTAAAAATAATACACTATTACACCTACTTTTTTTGGATTTATCCTTCATTCCATCACATTATTTCACTATCTTCCCATCATACCCCTAATAATACATATCTCCTTTCACTATTCTTAATCTACCTACTTTTCAAATGGGAACATTCCAATGTTACGGAGGTAGTAATATTTTTCGTAATATTACAAAAATAATACTCATGGACAAATATATGACTACCGCATTGTCTATGTGTAGTATAACTATGGGGGACCATCAACCTATAATTTTGTCCATTTTTATTAGTTACTATTTGTCGTTATTTCTCTGTAATACTCTTCTGTCTTATTTTATGTGTCTTAGTTTTGCAATGAGGTTCATAACATTTGATGTAATGAGAGGAAACAAATCATACATGATCAAAATCTACATTAAAAATTCAACAAAATGTGGTGTCTTGACTATTAAGTAATAATAATATGATGTTAGAAAATAGAAAACTCGTCAAGGTAAATTGAGACAGGGAGTACTAACATGATCCTATTATGCAGAATTTTGTTTCATTCAAGTAAACGGTACCCTACATGACCTTAGCAAATCAATCGACCATCTTATCAATATGGTCATTGATATGTTAAAAGTATTAGCACATTTGTTTTGCAAAAAATTCAATTTTTAAAAGCAGGAACAATTTATTCCAGTTATTTTTTAAATTATCTTGAAAATTTGAGAGTCGATAACCATACTGAATGATCCCCTAGTGAGTTAGTGCTGTTTTATATGGCTATAGATCATGTAACTGAAGACGCCGATGACAGAAACCACCGTCACTACCGCCGCAGCATTGATTGCAAACTTTGTGACATATCCATGAGAAGAAGCTTTTGGGGTGACCTTTTCTTCAGCTCTACTGCTGGGGTTTGACTCACTGTTTTGTTTGCTGCTATCCTGAGAAGGACCTCTGGTTTGATTCTTCGGCAATATAACGCGAAGAATACCTTTCCTGTATCTTGCCTCAAACTCATTAGTATTATAATAGTCTCCAGGAACTAAGACTTCCTTGTTGATCTTCCCCTCCGGCCCCTCACCAGAAATCCTCACAGTTCCACCATCTCCATATTCTGCTATGAGATGATCATTCTTGAATCCTTCAAGAGATCAAAACAAAGAATGTATACCATTTCCAAAGCAGTTAAAACATATATTGGGCAAGTGAACACACAATAAAGAGTTACATGGATCTAATTAATGAGCACTATTGATATTCACACATCACAAGGACTAAAACATATATAAAACTAAACTACATATTTTGAAATGAACTCAAATCTAATAAAATTTGATATACTAAATTAGAGAATACTTTTTTACGCAATAATTGTATGTACCTGGAGACAGAATGACCTCTAGGACATCACGGTCTTGTTCATGTTTCCATTTGCAGATTGGGTTATATTGTGCTATCTCAGGACTGGCCATCTGTTGCAATTTGTGGGGTTGGAGAGTTTTATATAATGTTCTGGGCACATACTAATAATAATTTCATAAAGCTGAATATATATTGAGATGAATAGTGTTTTGGGGTTTAGGTTTCGTCTTAGTTTTCCCAAAGAATATTTCAGAGTCACATTCTGAATGCTTGCTTGCTTCCTGCCTTTGGTTTTGCATGTGGTACGTGTACCTTACATATTCCTTCTATAATTCAAGTCTCATTCTTTCTTACACCTCCTGAGCCTATTTAGCACGTCAAATTAGAATGAGTTGGTACGAAAAACTATTACAATTAAACTTTTACACATAAAAATATAGAAAAAATATGTTTGTACCCATTTTTGTACCCACTTTTGCACCCCTCTATTTTGCTTGTGTACGTAGACAATTCGTTAAGAAGATGGCAGCAATTGTCTCCCAATTGCCTGTATACATAGGCAATGTACAAAAGTGGGTACAAAAGTGTGTACACCAAGAAGGTTTGAAAAATATAATTAAGCCTTTTAAAGTTTGGGGTGGGTGGGGCCTGGTCGGCTCCCTTAGGCCTTAGCTACGCCCTTGACATGATTCATGGCAAATACTACTACCTCTGTCCCGCTTAAAGGTTCTTATCTTAAAATGACACAATTATTTAGATAATAATTAATAAAGTTATCCAAGTATATTTTGATCGAGAAACAGTTGTGATGGATATATAATATAATGAGGTCATTGAGATAATCGTGATGTCATAGATGTATTATTTAATATTTTTCGATTAAATTGTCATTTTAGAGTGTTAGTTGTTTACTAAAATATAAATAAGAACTTTTATATGGGATGTTCAGAAAAGGAAATTGGAAACCTTTGAATGACCAAAGAAGTGCCAACCTTTCAATGTGACGGAGTACAACATAATACGTAGTACATGATCAAGATTCTCTCAATTTTTAGTCGAGTAAATCCAACCATTTATCACACTAACATTCTTGATCCCATAATTAGCACTCTGATGTTCTCCATAAATTTATTGCTATATTTATCTCCAATTTTAGGTTGATACAATGTTTGTTCAAGTGAAAAGTAAAGAGTTTACATTCGTTACGAGGAGAATAAACAATGCCAACCATAAACATTTTACTTATATAGAAATAAGGAATAAAAATAAAATAAGGATGCTTATCTCATTAGGAAATACTCCATCCGTCCAAATTTAAAAGATCTCATTTGACTTTATACAATTTAAGAAAATGGCACTATTTGAATACTATTTGACACTGTTTGATATTGTTATAAACTTTTTGCACTGTTCTGCACTATTTAGTTTACTAAATAAGGAAAAAGAGGGCATTTTAAGGGACAGATCGAAAAGGAAAGTGGTATATTTATTTGGGAACGGAAGGAGTAGAATACATTACATTTAGGAGCCGTTTACTTGCTTGTTTAATAAACGATGCCTATTTAGCCGTTTCTTACTAAGCGTCGGTTACTTTAGAAGTGTTTACTAAGCCTGGTATTTAATAACAAAAATCATGTTTACTTCATCAGCCTTAAAAGACATCTTATATTTAAAATGACATAACTAACCTTAAAACCTACTTCCTCATTTCATTTCTACTGCTTTAGCCGTGAGAGACAAACCATCGCTCCCATCTCCATTGAAGAAGCAGCTGCCATATCCATAGAAGAAGCCGCTGCCATCTCCATCGAAGAAGCAAGTTGGACGTGTTGACCATCTCTAGCCCTCCAGGTATTACTTTCTTCTTCCATTTTTCAGTCCGATTGAACAAGGACCCTCTATCTCCCTGTTCGAAATCTCTCCCTCTCTCACTCTCACACACATATATAAATTAATTAGCTATATGTAGATTTATAGATATATATATATATATATATAGGAGCAAAGTGCAGAGATTCGAATGTGGCCAATGATTCATTTAAATGAGTTGATTTGTCTGCTTAGGTGCTTGTGGTGTGTAATTTCAATATGTGGTGCCATTTGTTTTTTCGCATATTTGTTCTTACGTATATACTCCATCAAATTTTTAATGCCTTTTGTCTTTTTCAATTCATTACAATCTCATTTCTGTTTTTTTATATTTATAGAATGGATGAAAGTCAAACATCAAACAACCATGTATTAGGGCAAAGTGCTTTAAATTCAAAGCGTGTCAAAAGGAGAAATTCATTAAAGTGGTGGCTGAATGCTCAAACATGGTTTATGACAATCATATTTTGGATGTTTGTTTCATTATCCACAAGGCGAAGACGAACACGAGGTATGCGATATATAATAGACAATCATTCCAAAAGGGAAGGATATTTTAAAAGATTAGTGCATGGACCTGAAGCAAATTGCATTTCCCAATTAAGAATGAGTCGTGCTGCTTTTTTCAAGTTGTGTGATATGTTGGTTACAAAAGGTGGGTTGAGACCAACACGACATTTGATAGTAGAAGAACAAGTAGCTATATTTCTACTTGTATTATCCCATCATCACAAAAATAGAACCTTAATAACTGACTTTCAAAGATCCGGGAGAACAGTAAGCAAATGTTTTTCTACTGTAATACATGCGGTGTTACAACTTCATTCTACTTTGTATGCTAAACCTCAACCAATTACGATGGAATGCGAAGATGATCGATGGAGAACATTTCAGGTGCATATCTTAATTAATCTATGCGCCATTCTATTTCTAACTACCTCATGATACTTCTTTGTAATACTAATTAGTGTAATCTTGCAGAATTGTGTGGGTGCATTGGATGGAACTTATATTGATGTCCATGCATCACTAAATGATCATAATCGTTTCCGTTCTCAAAAAGGAAGGATTGCTACAAATGTCCTTGGTGTGTGCAATCCACAAATGCAGTTCATATATGTGTTTCCTGGATGGGAGGGATCAGCTGCAGATGGTAGAGTTTTGCGAGATGCCCTCACAAGAAGGTTCCGAGTTCCACAAGGTATACACATTTTTATACTAAAATTAAATTTATGAAGTAAATTAATATAAATATTTAAATGTATGCACAAAATAAAGGGTGTTATTGAATGTCCCAATCCAGATAAGGACATCATGATATTTTATGCAAATATGAGATTGTTTCCTCCATTTCGTGATAATGATGTATTGCCCTTGACCATAAAAAATACAATACTTCAGTCATGTTGTTTCCTCCATTTCTTGATAATGATGTATTGCCCTTAACCATAAAAAATACAATACTTCAATCGTTTTACTTAAGGAACACTGAGAGGGCTTGTGGAGTTGCTGTTTATAGGCGTGTCTCATGTTCAAGTGGATCATGTTCAAGTGGATCATGTTCAATATGATGAATCATATCTTCCGCCTCCATCCCTGTTGCTCCAGTAGCTCGATCTTCTGAGTAAATGGTACAAAACTCTTCATAATACCACAAACTCTTTCTTCTTAAAGCTCCAACCTTAGGATTAGTCTGAAAGTATATACCCACATTAATGGAAAAAATGTACCAATTAGGAATTATTCAAAAAATAAAGAAAAATAATAATTAATTACATTACCTCCTCTATCGCGACCCACACTTCATTAGGGGCAGTCACCATCTTTAGTAAAGGATCCCATCCAAATCCACTTAACGAAGCAGTGCGCCCATTCAATAAGTCATAATACTCTTGCCAAACTTGTTTCATTGTTCTTATACGGGACTCAACGTGTGGCTTAGCATCCAAGTGCGAATGAGGTAACTTATCTGATATCATTTTTGCAAGCACGCTTAAATATCCAGATTCAAATCCTCCTTTTTTCCCATTATACGTGCCACGACTATGCAATTCGACCATACAAGCAACAAGAGTTTGGTCTTCCTGTGCACTCCATTTTCTTCTAGTTGATTTTTCAACACGTGGCATCTGTGACAAATAAAATTGGACATTTGGGAGATGTATAAGCACTAGTCAGTTAGATAGTCATACTAATCTGCACATAACCAGTGCATCATTTACTATAAGCACTCTACAAACAAGCTCTTGAAAATAAGTTTTCATTTCTTTGTTGTCTATATTTAATAAATAACCTTGATTTATAGAATAACCAGATAGTGATAGCTTCTAGTTTAATAACAATAACACATGAATATCTGTTCAACTTTTAATGTTCAGACATAACTAACATTAATTACTCGTTTGTTTTGTTCAAGACATCAATCTGGGTTTGAACATTACTGATTTTTTCATATTCATGCGAAAGTTAAAACCTTGGTTGAGATTGTACCCTTCACAAAGTGGTTATATCTCTACAATATACATAGAGAAAAAATAGTAAACAATGAACAAAGAGGCATTGTTATGATTAGAAAATAGAAAAGGAAACATGAATAGCACATACAAAGCAAATGAAATGCTGTCAAATGAGTAAAGAAACAACCTCTCCCGGAATGAACTCTACCGGACTGGCCGGACAGTACGCACAGAACATATAAATATGCAGAAAACATGAATGGCAGCAACACATCGAGAAAATATAGATAAGGGGCGGAAGCACATAACAAACTTTTACAACATCATCTATCCTCCAATGTAGAATGGGTGCGGCAGATTCTGAACCCATTTTCTTTGCCACTTCCGCCAAGCGAGAAGTTGGGATTCTGAACCCTTATGGAGACAGAGACACCTTAGTCTCCATCCATACCATCCTGAATATTTGAAAGAACCCCAAAGGAATTCAAAGTATGCACCGGGTCCTCATCAGACTCAGGATCCATGAAGCTGCCCTCAACAAGCGCACTAGACTGCACCTGGTGTTGCAGAGAAAGCCCCAGCCCATCCTTCGAGACTGATTGAACCTCAGATACCGGTGTCTAACTTGTCCCACCCTCCAAGGACGATATATGAACATTTTCCGTTGAAGCCCATAACTGGTCGCGTATGAACTGCAATATCAGCGGACGCCATAACAATATGTTGCTGACCAGAACCTCTGAAAACCATCCACTTGCTGGACGGCTGGGGATATTCGCTGTCGATCAGCACCAACAGGATCCCGAATAATCAATGGTTTCTTTGATAGCAACCCATTTTCTTAGCCAAATTTAACCTATTTAAAAGTTCAAACCCAAATACAGTAGAAGAAATCGAAGATAGAAGTTCAGTTTACCTGCTGCGATAATTGCGACATAATACTCTGGGCTTTGGAGGAAGGTCTGCACTCGGCAATGCAATGCTTGGAGAAAGATCTGCGATGGTGTTCTACCCTATGGGAGATGTCAGGATAAGATAGGGTATGGATGTAAATAAAATTTTCATACGGTGAAGGCTAGGGACACGCTGGTCAATAAGAAAAAGCTAAACTTACCGATTAAATAAAACATGGGGGGGGGGGGCATCGCTTTAGTAACCAGCGAGTTAAGAGGGTCTTGGGCGTACTAAGCAAGGAGTTAGCCGTAGATTCCGTTTACTTCAGGCACCTTATTAAGCAAGCAGTATTGTAAACAACAAAGTAAACGGCTCCTTAGGGATGGGAGGCTAGAACCGAACCGAAACCCGGAAACCGTTTTTGGCCCGGCTCGAATGATGTTCCTGGTCCAGGTTTTTTCTTTTTAACCGACCCAAATAATAAAAACCCGGACCGAATCCGAATATTCGGACTCATAAATAGGCTCTAAAATCTATAATCTGGCCCGTACCGGAAAAAGCCTAAACAATTAACTTTAATATAAAATCAACACTACATACATTTTTTTTGAAAAAAAAACACTACATGACATACATAGTATTATATATGAATCTAATTTATAAATAATTGATAACTCCTAATATATGATTATAATCATGATGGATGAAAAAATGATTTAGTAACTTTTAATGACTACAAATATGTTCAATATTATATACTGTGATGATCATGGAAGTATATTTGTAGTAACTTTAGTCTTCACATTTTTATCCATAAATTTTACTCCGTATTTAATAGTATTTTTAGAAAACCTATATTTTTTGTATGCATCTTAAATAAAAATATTAAGATAATTATCTTCTTTGGATTTGAATTGTAGATGATTTTGGAGAATAATATTTGTGTTATTATTTGCGATTTGTGTTTTTTATTAATTTTATTTGAAAATAGGTTTTAAAATATAAAAGAAAAATGAGATGATTTCATCGGGCTTTAATCGGCTCAATCCGAACCGGGACCGAACCCGGGCTACCAAAAACTGACCCGGACTGAATATAATGAGTTTAGTTCCAGTCTCTAATTTCCATAACCTCAAACCTTACGACTAATTTCAAGGTTCAGCAAAAACTCAATCCAAATCGGACCGATTCCACCCCTTTCCTTAGTTGTTTATCATCCCTCGACGGGCAACCCATATTCTTCAAGATGAGCCTTTTCTTTAACAAAATTATACAGAGTTTTACGTAACGACTAACCAATTTTTGTGTCAACACATAACTTACCAAGTTTCATTTTTGTGAAAATTAAACTTTAACATGTGATTATTAATTCCACTTTTAAAATCTATGAGTTTTACATCAATTTTACAATTACTTCTTTTCTTTCACTTTGTCCATTTTGTGTACTTAATTATTAATCTTGCATATTTATGGTCCTTCCACCCAATTGTCCGATGCCTTTCTAGTGATTTTAACCACCGAAATTTTTTGACAGAAGCATCAAATTAAAAAATGTGGATGGATTGTGAAATTAGTTAGGTAAAATTGACTAAAAGTGACATTTGTTCATTAAAATGTGGATGGATTGTGTCATACTACGTATATGGTTACTTGCCGTACAAATTGAAGACGAGCTATTATGGTTATTTAAAGTTGCTACAAGAGATCACATTTTTAGAAATAAAACTTATTTTAATCATAAAATTGTGATTAATACAAAAGAATATAGTAAAAGAAATATTTCAAACACACGGTCCTCCAAAGTCCAAACAATTACGGTCCTTACGGAGCAAAAAATTACCACATTGGCTGCTAGCATCCTTTGAGTGTGTAATGTGTATGTATGGGTCTATCTATACAGTTAGAGGCTTAGACCACATTTTTGTAATTTTACAGTGAGTATCAATGCAATTTCATGAAGTATTAGACCTATTTTTATTGAGTTTTAGGAGTCTAATATCAAACATATTTTCTAATTCACTTTTTTTTATTCTTTTAATAAATTCTTAAATGATATCTAAAGTCAATTCCTATGAATTTTGATACGTGAATCTAATTTAATAATATACTTTTAAAATATGTATTGATATAAAAATTGTAAGCTCTACTAGTTGAGTATCAAGACATGTTTAGTGAACATCAAGTCTTCTTTTTTCAAGATTAGACTAAGAAGTCTGGAATTAAGTATTGTGATCTCTGTTTCCATGTCTTCTAATTCACTTTTTTGATATTAAATTTTCTTTTTTCTTTTGATAAAAATTTCTTAAATTATATTTTTAATCAATTCAAATGAATTCTAATATGCGACTTTAATGTAATATATACTTTTATAATAAGCATTCATATGACATTTTAAAATGAACATAACACAAGTACAAACAATTACACATAAGTAATAAAATGAGTATAAAAAAAATTAAAAACTGGTTTGAAATCTTTAATATGCTCAAATGTTCATTTATTGCTCATTTCTCTGAAGATTCATTATTAATAGTTTACTAAACTATCATTATAATATAATAAAAATTCATTTCATTAAATAGGCGAAATAGTGCTCATCTTAAATTATTATTTTTTCATTATTTCCATATGTAATTACTGTCAAGTTTTAATATTATCAAATTTAAAACATAATTATATTTTCTAAATTTGATATTACTTTTATTTAAAAAATAAAAAACATGACATTATATTACTCCTATTTTGAGATTTTAAAATGATTTTGCTTTTATTACAAAAAAAAAATCCTTTTTATAAAATGAATGAAAACAACATCACATGGAAATAATAATTAGCCAAATTAAAGTGTCATCGTCGGAAATCCAGCTTTCATAAAACTAGTAGTCATGTTCAAGTTCGTCCGTATTATCTTTGCTTACGACTCCTTAGAAAGAGAAGGAAAGAGAGAGAGATTCTTTTACAATGCAGGTAAGATTTCAGTCTCATAACTGAATTCCCTTTGTTTTTTCCCAGTTCATGAAAATTCGACATGTCAACTTGAAATTTCCAATCGGTTATATTCGTTCTTTGGGGTATTTTTAGCAACAGAGGACAGTACGTGTTGGAAATGTATCAGATCTAGCTACCGAGAGGGAAATCCGAGAGTTCTTCTCCTTCTCCGGCGCCATTGAACACATTGAGATTCGACGGTCGGTGCTGCGGCTCTGTTTTGAGTTTTGAAATTTGAATCACATGTGGCTTATGCAGTTATACTTGGCGTTATTGTTTCAGGGAGCAAGATGAATCTAGGACTGCTTATGTTACCTTTAAAGATACGAAAGCTATTGAAATCGCTCTTTTGTTATCGGTAATTTGATTTACCTCCATGTTGTTATACGGCTTTTTGAGTAGCAACTTTTTCCCCTTTGAATGAAAGTGTTAAAATGTGAGAGTACCGTTTTGGAAATAACTGGTCATTCTATACACATATGTGAATGCGTTATAGATCTGAATGGAAATTACAGCTTAGTTTTCATATTTACGTAAAAGATGTTATCTGGATTGGAGGTCTTGGATGCACCCGGCATATTCTAGCCCATCTGTTAAAACTTTCTTGATTGGAGTACGCTAGGAATAGTCTCGCGTAGCCCCTTTTGTGCTTGGTTTTGTGGATGTTGGCAACAGACAACTGGGCGTTGCAAACACATTCTCACACTCTCAGTTCTTCATAACATCAAAGATTGTACACAGAGATTTAAATGTTCTTTATGACCATTTGAAACTGTTCTTACGTGCCTTTTACCAGTTAGAGATGCAGTTCCTATACATTTCCTGTATTATCTACAATTACAATTGCATCAGGGGTGAAATTAGCTTTTACATTCAAAAGCTTGGCCTCAATATCACACTCACATTTTCTTTCACCACAAAGGTCATGTTTCTTGATGGTGATGATTTTCTTTCATTAATGGAGTGGGCGAAACCTTTGCGGTACTGGGGTAATGATTTTGAAATGGGGTAATGGTGGTGATGATGATGATCATGATGAAAAGAGTGGGTGAAACCTTGATTGTTTGTTGACCTGTGCTTTTTTCATCATTCTCTCATTCTAGAAACCTATCACATCTTATATTTTCAATTCCTTTTTAGTTTAGTATCCAAAACCTCCAAACATAGTTGTTCTTCTATGTTGTACAGAGTATGTAGTTGTTTTTTCCCCACAAGTAATGCACAGTACTCAGCCCGATGCCCAGTGTGTTGGCTTTTCCGCAACTAATGCGCGATAGGATTTTGAATATGCAATATAGGAGTTTTCTGCAAGCTAAACAAATTATATGATTGGTATTTTACTATTTGTTTATACCTGTTCACCTCTCAAGATCAAGGCTATGTTTTATGCAGTTAGTTGACAAATAAAGTTTTAGATGAAATGGTATGTGGAACAGACAACAGAGATTAAATCATTAAATGATGGTAGATAAAGATAATGAAAGGGTTGAAATAATGGTAGATAAGTAGATCTAATTGCCAAACCCTTGGTGAAAGGGTTGATGAAATTTTCAATTTAGAAGGGTATGATACATATAATGAATTTGATTTAATAAAGGATAGGCCTGCTAAACTATAAATATTGAGTGAAAATTTATTTCTAGTACTAGTATTTTTTTTTTTCTTTCAGCATCTACCAAGTAAACCAAGATCTTTTGCGATGTTGAAAATGAAATTATTTGTAATTATATTTACCACATAAATGAAATGGCTTAAGGATTAAAATATACTCAAGTTCCAAGTGTTGTGCATTTTGCAGGGAGCAACAATAGTGGACCAGATAGTGACCATAACTCTGGCAGAGAACTATGTCCCAAAATCTGAAGTTCAGGTTACTCAAACTGCTAGATTTTATAATTTCCGTTTCTACTTTAAGTGTATCACCTAAGCTCAAGATGCTATCAATTTACACAGGAGTTTAGGATAGTTGTTGACGACGATATAAGCACCTCGGGGGGGAATAACTCACTGTTTGCTGAGGTACACACATCTATAAACCTATATAAAATTTCGTTTTGTTTAATAGGTTTATTTGGGAAGTATGTATGTGCGTTTATATGTACACACACAGTCACACACACACATAGGTACACTATCTCACAATCAGAAGTGAATGGCTGTGATTTGTTCACTCCTAATTAATTACATTATCTCACCAGCGAAGTGATGAAAGCATTCATCCTGAAAATACAATGTCCAAAACACGAATAAAAGGTTGATCAAATGTTATATGATCTCATATTACATTGATCTTAAATTAATAAGTATGTTAAGGTAGACTTAGCCCTCCAAAGACCCCTCTTCCCAAACCTTCAATCCAAGCAGGCCCGAAAATAAAGAGCTTGAATGTTAATCCTGGCATCTTTTCCATTAAGGGATGAAAGTAGTCTGCATATTTAGAATGCGCGGATGTGTGTGTTCTAAGCTGGTAAAGTAGAGATTCGTGGATACAGTTTATAGTTTATACATTTATGCCACATGTTTGAATGGGTTAAACCCATAGGTTATCATTAGCTAATTAGTTTATGATTCTGAATGCTTGGATTAGCTGTTATATTCATTTCTTCTTGCAGGACAAATTTACTTCATCTAGCCAGGCCAGGGTAAATGGCAGGGTATATGTAAGTAAAGCACAAGATGTTGTCTCCAGTGTGCTGGCAAAAGGATCAGCTATAGGACAAGATGCTATGACTAAAGCCAAGGCATTTGATGAAAAGCATCGGTTAACCGCCACTGCTTCTGCTAAAGTCAGTTCATTTGATCAAAGAGTTGGGTTGTCTGAGAAACTGACAGTAGGAATTTCTGTGGTGAATCAGAAAGTCAAATCTGTGGATGAAAAGCTTCAAGTTTCTGATAAAACGATGGCTGCACTTTTTGCAGCTGAACGTAAAATAAATGATACTGGATCAGCAGTAAAATCAAGCAGGTTTGTAGCATTTCATCCAGCTCTCTTAGTTTTTACTCTAACATGCTTTATCTTTATCTTTTGTTGGATACATCGAAAAAGATCTCTATCTCTATGTTTACTTTTGATTAAGTTTTCTTGTAGAATATGGGTTTGGGCGTTTCGTTCTGTACAGCATTTTTTTTGGCATAACTTTCCGCTTTTGTAGTATTCACTGTATTTGGGCCGGAATCATAGATTCCTAGAGGTTTTGCTTTTCACCGAGGCATCTGGTAGCCTGGAAAGTGTAAGGTGTCCTTGGGAATTTAAAATGTGGGAAAAACTTACCTATGTTTGGTGATCCCTTTGATTTGGGAAAAGCTGGGTCAAAATCCTTTAAACGGGAAAAACTTTTAGGGTCCATTTGGAATCCCAGAAATTCTTGGCAAAGAACAGAGGAAGAGATATAGAGAGAAAATCTGGAGGAAAATCAAAGTTACTCTCAAAATCTGGAGGAAAATCAAAGTTACTCTTTTGGTAACCTTATTATTGCATTGGTTTTATGGGTAATCTTTTTTATGAACCAAAATTTACTATCATTGACTAGAAAAGTCAAAGATAACTAACTAAAAAGTGACTAAAGTAGTGTAACTTCTTTATTTTATTAATTAATAAAATAAATGATAGTATTTCTTAGATATATTATAAAATGTCAACCGATTATGTCAATTCAACCGTTTCCATCAATGATTTATTTTTGATATTTTCTCAAGCTCATCTCATTAATTTAGGATGTTTTCTTTTGGACTGTTTTGGACCCAGACCAGACTTCCATAGTTATAAAAAACACAGAGACCAGACGTTTACCAGACCAGTTCAGATCAGACCGGACCAGACCAGACCAGCAAATTTCAGTCCAAAAGAAAACATTCTTATACTGCGTATATTTCTACAATATAGAGACAAAAAAATGTAGTACTTCTCTTAACATTTTTTTTTCATTTATCTTTGGGGACCCAAACATACCCTTAAACGCAGGGTGTCTCGTATTGTATGGGAAGTTACTCTTTAGCAGTACTTTTTGGAATTTAATTAATAAGTACCAAACGTCCGCTTCACAAATTAATTGATAGACGCATGCTAGGGCACACAAATTCTCACATAAGAGGTGGTAGCATGCTATGCTTTTCATTTTGATTCATTCAATCCAACCACTCAGTTTCAGATGCTGCTTTCTAACTTAGTCATGGTCGGTTCCACTTAGATCTGCTCCCTTTTTCCTTTATCTTTCTTACCAGATCACACGTTTTTACACCAAATCTTAGGGTTTAATCAATAAAAACATTATGTAATGTCCTAAAAGTGAGCTAATTTAAAATGGAGACATGGAGTAATTACTTTCTACCCATTTAATTAATATGATTAGTATAAGATTTGTAAAAGTTAAAGAAATATCAAGATCTTCTATGTGGATAAATTTCATGAAAGGATAGATAGAATGGAACACTCAAGTTTGGTCAATAAAGATGGATAAAAAGGAAAAAGGGAGTATATTATTAAAAAATCAAGCTTTCTCTGATAGTTTACTTTTTTGACTCCAAGACTTGATTTTTGCGACATCATCATATATTCATCAACAATAAAACTGAGCAGGTATGTAACTGCTGGAGCTGCATGGCTGAATGGTGCTTTTAGTAGGGTAGCGAAGGCGGGCCAGGCGGCTAGTACTAAAACTCGAGAAAAGTGGAATTCGACATTCTCAAATATGACGGAAAAGGTTTTTTCCTCCCTTTTCCATTCGAATCAAATAGTTACATGATTTAACAACGTGAAAATGGTGAAATGGCTCAAATATTGCAAAACAAGTTAAATGGGGCATTTTTTGGGGGAAATTGCAAGGAATCAACAGATTTTGGAATTTTAAAATAAGAGTGTTACTCTGTATATTTTACTTCCCGAAATAGGAGTCACTAGTGTCATGATTGAAAAGTATTGTCATTAATGACTTAAATACTATGATGACTTAAATACTGTCACGTTAAATACTATGATGACTTAAATAATGTCACGTTAATGTTTAGTAGTGCAACTATTTTGACAGTAACGACTCCAAAATGACAGTAAAATTTGACATGTTACTCTTATTTCGGCAAGAAAAATATCGCAACCTTATTTTGAAATTCTACAACCTATTTACTTCTATTATTGTATCTTTTCTTTTTTCGCTTGTCTATTAAATTTGTCTTATGCTACGTACCATATTTGATACTAATAGTATTTTCGGTTCTAATTCATTCTTCCCTTCTTCATATATATCAATTCAATATTAACGAGATAGTATTCTATTTTTCTGAATTACTGTGGTTACAGGATTCGCCTATGGTTGTATAGACTCAAATTACATCAACATTGCCAAGTTGGCAAAGGCGACTTTTTCTCAATGCTCTGTTACCAACTACCAAGTGCTTGTTTTACTGATGCGGGCGTCACCGACCTCTACACATATATTCAATTCTTTTTGCAGTGTGTATTATTCTTTTTCATTTTTTTCCCTTCAAATTTATCGATTTATCAAATTTCGCTTTATAGGCCTTTGTATGTTTGCAACTTGCAAGTATGATTGGGTTCTTGTATCATAGACTCGTCAATTCATGTAGGATCCTGTTAATCACGACCTTTACGACCATGGTTAAATATTAATGATGGATCGGATGAGATAACGTACTCTTCATAATTCCTTCAAAATATGATATTCATCGATGAAAAGAATATGATTCATGCAAATTGCAAATTAAAACAATTAATCAAAGAATAGCATTGTCAGAGATTCACATTGATGAAATTCTGGCAAAATCGATTGAATTGGTTGAATCCGTTGAAAATGATGTAATTTTGGTTTAATCTGCTAAGTTATCAAAAAAAATCTATGTAACATTAGTCCTGGACTCGGGCCGGTTCGGGCCCGGTTCGGGCCTGGGCCCGGCCGGGCCTCGGGCCAGGAAAGGGAGGCCCGAGCCCGAACCGCCGGTGGCCGGTTCCGGTCCCGGTTCCGGGCCAAACCGGGCCGGGCCGGGCTGGGCCGAACCGGCCCAATAATATTTTTTTTTTTTTTTTTGTTCTTCTATTTAATCCCCTACCCCTCCCCCTCAACCCCAAACCATCCCAAACCACCTCAAATGGCCCAAAATACCTAATCCAACCTAAAACTTAAAAAAATTTCAAAAAAAAAAAAAAAAATTAAAATCCGGCCCGGACCGGGCCCGAACCGGCCGGGCCGGTTCACAAAAACCTGGGCCCGGGCCCGAACCGCCCAGCAGCCGGGCCGGGCCGAACCGAACCGAGGGACCCACCGGGCCCCGGGCCGGGCCGGGCCAAATAGTAACCGGGCCGGGCCGGTTCCGGGCCGGGCCGCCCGGCCCGAGTCCAGGACTATGTAACATTAGTCAATTCCTTTAGGGAATTGACTCTATTTTTACTTATTTTCATTATTTTATATAATTCAATGCGCTTAATTAAAAGTATATACTCCTTTTGTCTCATAAAATTTTCCCAGATTGTCCTTGATTGAAGTTGAAGAAAATAAGAATAAAGTACAAATGTTGGTTCTGGTTGAGTAAAAAATGGGTAAATGAGTGGTGGTCACATGAAACTTTCTAGAAAAGAAAATAAAAATTGCCTTAAATAAGAACAAAAACGTTTTGAAATTCCAAAATAGCAGTATCATATTTTTTATTTCCGGAATAGGAGTAATTTGCCAAGTTAGGAAGAAAATGTCATGTCTAAAGCTTAGTAATGCCAAACTTGGTAGAAATTTACTCCTATTCAGGGAATAAAAAACATGATAGTCTTATTTTGGAATTTCAAAACATTTTTACTCCTATTTAGGAAATTCTTTCAAAAGAAAATAAGAAGATTTATTTTGGGCACTATAAAAGGTAAGTGAGATGAATTTTATAGGACAAAGGGAATATTTACCCGAAAGTTAGTTTTTTTTTACAAGTACCCGAAAGTTGGTAGATAACTGAAAACAAGTGTTACCAAATTGGCTCAAATTCATGATTCATCTAGTAAGGAATGGAGTGTTCCATGGCCGGCTCCAACAAGAACATATATTCAAAAATATATTGGGAAAATTATACAAATAAGACTTAATCATATGAAGTTTCCAAAATTAGGACTCCGAATACGCATAGAACATAAGTACACCTGCTTTGACGGTATTACCCTTACTTTTCAATTCCATAGCAAACCACAACTCCATTTGAATAGGATTTCTTTCAAGCTGCAAGCCCTCACCGTCTCAACTTAAAATTTTGCAGAAAGCTTAAACGAAAAAAAAAGTCTGCCAGGAGTAACCGGCAATGAAGAACGGAAAGGAAATTCGGACGAAGAACAGAAGGAAATTACGGCGAAGAATGACAAGGAAATTACGGCGAAGAATGACAAGGAAATTTCGACGAAGAACGGAAGGAAATTCTGACGAAGATCATTTAAGCACTAAATGGAAAAGAGAAAGAAAAGATCGAAGAAAACGCGGAGAAGGAAGAAAACTCTGACAATGATTTTGAAACAAAGATGCCTAAGTTAGTCCCAGTAAAACGAAGAAGCAAAAGGAAATTATGCTTCAAATTTGGTAAGGTATTCTATTCAATAATGACTTTGTTAGAGAAAAGTAAATATAAATTTTTCAATGGAATGATTCTCGGATATATTGTCTACAAAGCAAGAGAGATATAATGAAATGTAAGGACAGAAACTGGCTACACTTGATTTAATTTCCAATTACATAGTTAGAAACCAAAAGGCAGTTAAATGTCCAGCAATCTACATCAACATGGTAGATAATTTGGAATTAGTGAACCAGTACCGTTGGAGAGATGAAATCTAGGAAGATTTATTGGAAAAATGTCCAGGTGGAGAGAAAATATTAAAAAGACAAAAAACAAAGATTCGCCTTTGCAGGTTTTACTTTTACAATGTAAATATGGGCATTTGAAAGTTTTTTAGCTCTTAAAATGACACATGTTTGTAACTTAGAGGAAGAAAGAAGAAAGATGTTTCCTAGATTACTGAAATGGTGTGCACCAAAGAAAACAAATGTTGTGACATGAGCTGATGTCATATTTTTGAATGGATAGATAAAATTGTTTTTAATGCCTGTATTGCATGTAATGCAAATTATTGCGTTGTGTTGTGCACTAACTTAGGGTATGCATATTTTCTCTTATGTGCTGCAGTTTGAATATCAAAGAATGCAATCAACTGAGGATGAGCTTAAGATTCCAATGCTAAATGCATTTTATGCAAAAAAGGTGAATGAGCCTGTCGAATCAAGCCATCTACTTTGAAACCCGGGCCACCAAAACAAAGAACAAATGTTTGTGTTGATGGAAATAATCGAGAAGATTGTGAAGTTCATGAATGTGGGACTGGACATCAACAAAAGTCGTCTAAAGTTGCACATTTTGATTGCCATGACTAAGAAGATGTTGGCATGAAGGAACAAAATGCCAAGTGTGCAACTTTAAGTGGACTACGGAGATTAAATAGTTTGCTTAAGAGAATAAAAGTTGTTGACAACCAAAGAAAGGATACAATAATGTATCATGCTTAACATCAAGGATACAACCGTCCTCCAATTCAAGAAGATGCAATAGATGACGGAATGTTTAAACTTCTAAATTGGCAAAAGGAGCAGACAAAGATGTTGAAAGCATGAATATGATCTGCACTGAAGCTTGCTTAATATGATCTATTTAGATGTACCACAAATCTAGTAGCTCGACTAAAATCCTTTGTAATAATTAGGTTTTTGTAAATGAAAAAACTTGTAAAACTTGTTTCGTTTGGTCATTAAGACTTCTTCCCTAATATTGGTAACATTTGGTTTCGGTATATAACTATATGCAATCTCTTTTTTTGGTGTCATATGAAATGCTTATTCATGTTTTATTTAATATTGAATTCAAATGTAATGTCTGCTTCAAGTAAGAAATGAAGTGCATAAGTAGACATTAACTAGTCGTTATTGGCACATGTGTAGCATTAAACTCCTACCTCTAAAGTAAGTATAAAAATTAGTACAAAAGTATAAAGCAAATACACAATTTAGTTGATTATATTGCTGAAATATTGCTTAAATATATCCATAATGCATAAGAGTAATACACATCGTATGATATGAACATAAAGTTGTTAAAGGTGGAAATTTAGTCTTATTTTAGTCTTACTGATAAACTTCTTTTGAAATATGACTATGCAATGTCCTTTTGCGAACATTGAATTAGTACACCTAAAGTACAAGAATTAGTACAAATTTATAATACACACCACATGAATATGAACATAGAGTTCTTAAATGTGAACACATAAAATATGTCTGACACCAATTGCTATAGATCCATATTAAGTCTTATATTTTAGTGACACATGACAAGACATGGTTAGAGTGCTAAGTCAGAAGAAGTGAGATTATAAGTACAATTTGATATAGTCATTAAGTACACAATAAGTAGACATTAATTTGAAATATTTCTGCTACCTAAGTATGAATAATAAAAGTACAACAACTCAAACGCAAAAAATGACCATTAACATACATTCCCATGCCAATAAATTGTGCCCAATTCTCAACACTTATATCATACAAATAATCCCTGATATGAGGATCTTCTACATCTAATAACGCCACATGCTCTCCAAATTGAGTAGGTGTTGCAACTCCGGAAGCCTAATTAAATTTCTACACAAGACCTGTAGTAGAGCCCTGAACTTTGTCCTGATATTTTCAAGCTGGTGAAATACACAATAGCCGTGTTCAACGTGTGGAAACACCGCTTTTGCATCATGTATAATACCCTCATGACGATTAGAAACAATGTACAAATCAGGCTTATATGCAAATTACTCATTCAGTTTCTTAAAAAACAAGTCCATGTTTTCTTCCGCTCGGTCACACACACGAAAAGCCAAAGGGGAAATTTGTGTGTTAGCATCTTGAGCACAAACAGTTTCCTAGATGTATCTGCATATCTATGTTTTATGAGTTCAGCAATAACGTCTTTGGTGGCTCCACGGTGGGGACCTTGTCTGACATCGAGAGAGCATGTATGCAAAGATTCAAACCTGCAAATATTTGAACATTAAATAGACATTCACAAGGTATTAAGTAGACCAGGCCATAAGTGAATGTAATAATTCAAAAACAAGAAGAATGACAAAAATAATTAAGTTTTAGTATTACCAATTTTGAATTACCTTCTTATTTGAAACATTTGACATCCTTCCAACCTCACTACACAGAAGCCCAATGACATTGATCATCAATGCGAACAAGATGCCACACATTTGTATTTGATGTCCTTCTCTTATATTAACAAAGATTTGAAATAACACACATTTTCAAATGAACATATAATGATTTAATACACAAAAGATATTTGGTATAATGAGGTTGTAAATTTTAATAGTCAAGTAAATATTCAAACTATAATCGTCATTAACAATCACTAGATGAGGACATTCTTCAACCAAATAAGTAATGTTAATCCTTTCATTCAATGCAAACACATCAATGCATGAATAAAACAAGGCAGGAATATATGATGTCCCATTTGGAACTCTAAGTCCAGAAGTTCTTTTTATTACTAAAGCATTGGAATTATGCCAACAACCTTTAGCATTACCAACATTTTGATCTGATTAAAAACAAAGGAATTCGAATTATT